CTAGCCTCCTAGTTACTGGAAAACCCCCAGCACACTTCAGAGTCAGGGCCTTTGTATTTGCTGTGTCCCCTGCTGGGATGCTCTTCCCCCAAGATACCTGCAAACCCACCATCAGGTGATGAGCTGTCTATTCAAAAGAGGCATTCCCTGAATGCCTTATATAAAATAGCACCCCTTCCCCCTTCCCTCTCTCCCTCTCTCTCACACACACAGATAGCAATCCTGCTATCCTGTTTATGTGCCTTATTTCCTCCATAGCATTTATTATAAACTGACATGTAATACATTTGCTCATCTTTTATCTTCTTTCTTCCACTAGAAAGAAAGCCCTTGAGGGCCAAGCTCTTTGCTTTGTTCATATAGTATTCCCAGCTTCTGGGAACAATTCAGGACACGCGGTGTTCATTAAATATTTATCAAATGAACAAATGCATTCAATGAAATAACAAACAGCTGTTAAGAAAGGATGAGGCAGCACAATACTGACACAGCAAAACTCTCAAAATACACATGAAAAGAGCAGGTCAGTGAACCAAAAGCATAGTGTGAGGCAATTTTGTTGGGGATGGGAGGATCTATGCAAGCATATAAGAAATCTGAAATGATACATTCCCACTTTTAACAGATGTTGTATCTGGAAGGTAGAAAGGCAAAGTGTGTATGTGTGTATGATGTACGTATGTGATGGGGAGGATACTTGGTTTTATGTGGCAGTAGCCGTAGTACCAATTCTGTTTGTTGGTAGTTAACCTACTAAAACAATCAAAGATGTATATATCACAGTATTGTTCATAATATCAACAACAACAGAAAATGGACAAACGGTATTGGTCAGATAAATTTTAAAATGTTCGTGAACAACGGAGTAGATTCTCTTTAAATCCAGAGGTCAGCAAATAATAGCCTGCCTGTTAGATCCAGCTACTATCTTTTTTAATGAGTAAAGTTTTTAAAAAAATGTAGAGCCATCACCATTCATCTACGTGTTGCCTATGGCTGCTTTCCTGCTCCCATTGCAAAGCTGTGTAGTGTGACAGAGACTACATGGCCTGCAAAGCCTAAAATATTTACTATTTGGCCCTTTACAGGAACATGTTGCTGAACTCTTGGAATACAGTTTGTTGGAAAAAATGGAAAATATTAATGATATATACTTTGTTCACATACTAATGAGTAGGTGAATACTGTAAATAGAAATATTTATAAAGACTTAAAATATAGATATGGGGGTGGGGGGGAGACCGGAAGGATGCACACAAAAGTGTTATGAATTACCTTAGTGGAAACAATTAAAAGGTGCTTAGTATTTCTTCTTTTAAAGTTCCCTGAATTTTCAAATTTTCTGCAAAAAGTATGTATTACTCTTTTTAAAATCAGAATAAAAGGCTGACTTTAAAATATCTGGTTTGCTTCAAATGTATTCTTGCCTAAAGGAAGGAATAGGTAACCTTTCAATATCCTTCCTAAAATGTGATTCTTCATGAGACAAAGTTAGGTTTCATTTTTTAGCAGAGAGCCAAGCATACCGGCACCAGGAAGTAACAGCCCTTTGTCAGTTTTATTGAGGCAACTGGCTCATACTTTACCTTGTAAACACATTTAATTTTTTCATATTTTATTGTCTAAGCCTGTTATTAATAAAGGGCCAAGTTCAAAGTCCTGACAGTCTGCTTGAGAGGGTGAAGGTTAAAGACTGAGGAATCTTAGAGCACTTGTGTCACAGCTCCCTCCTTTTACTGTAAGAAGAAAACCAGAGTCTGCAAGGCTAACAGTTTGTCCAAGGCAACCCACTGAGATTTGGGCTGAGCCCTTGGTGTTTCCTACAAGGACTTCTGCATAAGAAATGGAAGTACAGGAGGAAGAAGAAAGAACAACAGGGATTTGGGCAATGCTTAGACTTACGTAAAAATCAAAAGTCAGTAATCAGTAATCAATAAAAATCATGGCCAGGTTAAGATAAGAGTATATTTATTTTTTAAGAAGAATGTTACTGTTTAACCACTTTCTCTTCTATTCCTCTTTATTTACATACTAAATTACTAGTCACTGTTATAGTAACAATGTATCATGTAAACATTACTGCTGGCATTCAGGATAGGTAGCTAAGTTTTCTTACTTCACCATGTCTTTTTCTCCCAAGATACTGGATTTTATTTTTTTAATTTATTTTACTGATATATAATTTACCTAGAGTGAAATGCACAGTTCAGTTTTGATAAAAGCCTATACCCAGATAACCAACACTGCAATCAAGCTATAAAACATTTCCACTATTCCACAAAAATTTCTCATGTCCTTTTCCAGTCAATCCTACCCTGTGTTCTCATTTCTTCACCACAGGTTTGTTATGCCTGTTCTAGACCTTCATATTAAATACAATCACTTCGTATGTACTCTTTTGTGTCTGATTTTTTCACTGAGCATGTTTCTTGAGAATCATCTTATGGTGGCATGCATCATAACTTACTATTTTTGTATTGCTGAATAGTAGTCTATTTAAACATATACCACAGAGTTCCCTTCACCTCTCTTTTGTTGAAGGACACCAAGACTGTTTCCAGTTTGGGCATGAAAGAAAAAATGTGTTCTAGTTCTGACACTACTTTGTCCAAATAAAAAGTTTTGGGAATTGGATTTTAATAGTTTTGAGATTCTTCCTTCCACTGATAGATTTTTCAAGGACCACCTTTCCTTTGTCTCCTCTGCAGGACACACTTGCAACTGGAGGGGAAGGAAGTGGGTCATACTGAGGACTGGCAAGTTTATTTGTACATAGGCATAAAGGCTGCATGTTGAAAACAAGTTAAATCCTTGCCATCATCACCATCTAATTTTGGAAAGGGTGGGTAAAGCTGCAAGGACAGCTGAAGTGCCAAGCTACCGAGTTTAAAGCATTATCAGGGCCCCATGATCATTGTTATAATTACAGCTTGTGTTTACTGAGCCTCAACTAAGTGCTAGACATTGTGTTAATTACTTTATCTAATCCTTCTGCTTAATGTAGGTACATGTATTATGTCAACTGCAGGAAGGGCACATAGATGATCAGAGTACATTAAGAAGTACATACACACTATACATAGAAGATGAGTATTATTAAACAGATCATAGGAACTTAAAGAAAATGAAGGGGTTTTTAAATGGCTAGTGGAGCTGTACAACTAAATAGTACAAATAACAGTTCTACTTCCTCTTCTCATCAGCATTTTGCAAACACTTTAAGCTATAAGCTCTCTCTGTTCATGCTCACTGACTCTGGACCGGTGTAGTGTGTGGCATTAACTCCTAACGGAATTTAAAACCAGCTGGTCAATTGTAGTTTTACAAGTAGAGAAACTTAACACCACTCTTGATAACAATAAGTACTTAGATATTTTGGATATACTATTACCAGCAATTCTGGCCAAAAGCCCTGTACAGCAAGGATTTCAGCGGGAAAGTGAGTGTTTTAAAAGTCTTTGAGGACTCCATAAAAAGTTATGTTTCCCCTTGTCTTTCTTTCTGTCTCTCCCCACCCCAGAGATCTTTCAGCATTCTTTTCCTTTACTGCTACTGATGAGTATTTTATTCACCTGTTTAACATAGGAAGGCTAAAGCAGAATGTATTTCTCTTTCTGGAAAGAAAGCCCTTAATATAATGTGGGGAACTTCATCAGCATGGGTGAGCTATGTGGCCTCATGTTTAAAATAGTTTATCCATAGTGCTCTGAACAATGTAACTTCTCATATTAGTTTGGGAGGGCTGCCATAACAAAGTACTACAGACTGGGTAGCTTAAACAACAGAAATTAATTTTCTCACAGTTCTAGAGTCAGGAAGTCTAAGGTTCAAGAGCATGGCAAAAATTGTGTTAGAACAAAATAAACTTGAAATTTAGCATATCCTACTGGCATCCCTTGCTTATAGAAAAAATTTCTAATTACTGCATGGTGTTCAAACTTTTAGTATGTGGAGAAGAATGAAAAGGATCAGAAATCAGGAAACAAACAGATGTGTTCATTATGATCAGTTAAGTTGATTCGTATGAAACTGACCTCCTAGTAAATAAAAATGGTCTAATACAGACAATTCTGTGCGTCAACCTAACAAAAAAGAGAAATCAGAGGATTTCGCCTGTAGAAGATGGAAAGCGAATGCACAGAAGCCATTACCACGGAAGATGAAAGGACTTTGCCTTAAAAGTACTGTTCAGTTCATACTTAACATCTCAATCTCAACATTTTAGATCTGGCCTCATACCAATAATAATATTGTCATTCCTTGTCACCCGGTTATTTATATTTTTTATATTATTAGCTACTTAAATCTTTCAAGCCGATTCTTTTTATCTATTTCTGGATGAGGTCTTCTGCTTTACCCAGGCTGCACGCTAAAAGGGAAGCTGAGCCCTCACTCTCCGCCTGAAAGAGGTTTGCCCGCCTATGGCAAGTTCTAAGGGCTCTACTCCCCTACACGATCCGTCCCATAGGGCCCCTCTCCGCCCATCTTTTCCCAGCGTGGCTTCCTACACCTACAAATTCTGCACTTTGCTTTCTCATCATCCTGCTATCTGGTTCGAGGAAAGGGTCCTTTCTTCCTCCGAAACCCCACATGGATAAAGACTTTAAACTCTGCTACCATGGGGTGGGACGGAGCCCCACTCTCCCAGATCATGGTGGAGATGCTGCTGTTGGGCTGAGTCCTGTCAGGTTTACACACTCAACTGACAATCCAGTGACACGGCAGTCAGAGAGAGGCAAGGATGTATCTCAAGCATCTTTGTTTCGGAGGCAGTCACTGCCGACCCCCAACCAGATGAGGGGCGCAGCACCACCTCGGAATCAAACTTGCAGACCGCGCACCGGGCTTGGTGCCCGGTCCGCCTCTGCGCAGCTGCGAGCGCGTCCCGGTTTGGGCTCGGGCGTCGCTGATTGGAGTGGGGGAGAAGGCGGCGGGCGGAGGAGGGGGGCTCAGCCAATCCGGGGCGCCCTGGGCTGTCCTCTTCCCCGCCCTGCACCTTCCAGGGGCGTTGGCAGCCGGGCGCCGCTATTAGTGCGGCGAGAGGCCCGCGGGACGCGGACGCCGACGCACAGGTCATGGCCTCCTGGGTGCCGCCGCAGCCCGCCTCCGAGGCCTCGCCCTGGCCTCTGCACTTGGTGCGCGCGCCCCCGGGGCTGCTGCGGCTGGACCCCACCGGCGGCGCGCTGCTGCTGCTCGGCCTCGCCGCACTGCTCGGCTGGAGCTGGCTGCGGCGGCGCCAGGCGAGGGGTATCCCCCCCGGGCCCAAACCCTGGCCCGTGGTGGGCAACTTCGGCTTCGTGCTGCTGCCGCCGTTCCTCCGACGGAGGAGCTGGCCGTACCAACGCTGGGGGCGCTCGCCAGGGGATGTCTCGGCCGTGGGCATGCAGGTGCTCCTGTCCAACCTGGCCAAAGTATACGGCAACATCTTCAGCTTCTACATCGGCCACTACCTGGTCGTGGTCCTCAACGACTTCCACAGCGTGCGCGAGGCGCTGGTGCAGCAGGCCGAGGTCTTCAGCGACCGCCCGCGGGTGCCGCTTGTCTCCCTTATAGCCAAGGAGAAGGGTGAGCGGGACGGCGACGGGATGCGGGGGCGCGGGGGCTGCGCGTCCGCGCCCCTGCCAGCCGCAGACGCCCAGCCAGCCCCTACTGAACCCAACGCCGACGGGGTGGGGCGGGGGGCGGGGCGCGGCGCCTCCCGTTCCCCGTGCCTTTGACGTCCCGTCGAGCTGTGATGGACGCGTGACTCGTTCATGTACCAGGATTGGAAGTTGGGAACCCACTGCAAAGTTGAGGAAAAGAATGGGGTCGGAGTGCGGGGAGGGCAGCTAGGTGTGAAGCTCGGTTCCAACTTTCCGAGGGTATTCTGGCCTTTTGTGAGCAGAGTCTCACTTCCCAGGCTGTCTCTTGGGAGAAACTTTGGCCATGTTAAAAAGAGGGAGCGATATTCTTTTCACCTGGGTTTTGAGTGGAAGCGTTTAAGAAGATATTTTCCCCTAAAACAGCCCAGAAAACACATTGGAAACCTTTTGGCAATCCGAATACACTGGGTTTGTCGCCTCTGTGATTCTGGCTTAGGGAAATCTAAACTGGGCAGGTTTGAGGGCTGGGAAACGTACTATCCGCTGCAATAGAACATTACACTTCGCTCTTTTTTCTTTCCTTTCCTCTCTTTTCCTTTCCTTTTCTTTCGTTTTTGCCCTTTGTTTATCTGTCTTGCGTTTGTCTTACTGGTGGGCATAGGTCCCAGACTTTTTGCCTGAGTCACTCCTAAGTATCAGTCAGGGGTTAATTTAAATGTCTTTCCCTTGGGGAGCTTTTTCTCACTACTTCTCCAAGTAAACTAGGCTCCCTTGTTAGAGCACTTTTCCTTCACCGCACTTATCAGGAGGTAGACCACATAATTTTTTGTAACCCTCTGGCCTGTATATAGGTCTTCAGCACTACACTGACCTCTAGAACAGTAATTCCTTGTCCTATCTGGCACATAGTAGGAGCTTAATTGATATTTATTAAATAAATGAACTGCTACTTTCTGTCCCTGGAATGTGGCATAAAGAGATCCATGCTTTTTAGAATCTCACATTAAGTCAGAGTTTTGCAACAGTAATAATAATCATAATATTTTTAATGTCCCACTGAAATACAAATGTAACAATTCATACCTCACCCTCTCCATGCCTTCAAATATGCTGCTTTTTCTCCCTGAATTCTCTTCCCCTCATGACTGCCTGGAGAACTGCCTGTTTTTCTTTTCTCTTAAAAAAAAAAATGTGGTGAAATACACATAAAATGTACCACCTTAATCATTTTTAAGTGTACAGTTTGTGGCATTAAGTCATTTACATTGTTTGGAAGACATCTACCATTATCTCCAGAACTGTTTTCATCTTGCAAAATTGAAACTTTGTACCCATTAAACAAACATTTAAAAAAACTCATTCCTCCCTCTCTCTAGCCCCTGGTAGCCACCATTCTATTTTCTGTCTCTCTGCTGGGTACTTCACAAGTGGAATCATACAATATTAGTCCTTCTGTGACTGATGTATTGCACTTAGCATAATGTTTGTAGGTTCATCCATGTTGTAGAATGTGAGAACTGCCTTCCATTTTAAGACTAAATTCTAGTCTGTTGCATGTACACACATTTTGTTTAGCCATTTGTCCCCAGATGGATACTTGCATACTTCCACCTTTTGGTTATTGTGAAAAATACTGCTATGAATATAGTACACATACAAATATCATTTTAATTCTCTCAATTATTTTAGGTATATATCTGGAAGTAGAGTTGCTTGGTCATATGGTAATTCTATATTTAATTTTTTGAGTAACTGTCATACTGTTTTCCACAGTGGCTGTGCCATTTTATATTCCCACCAGCTGTGAGCAAGGTTCCAATCTCTCCACATCCTCACAAACACTCATTATTTTGTCATCTTCATACCTGCTTAAATGTCACCTTTCCAAGAATGTGTTCCCTGACATACTTCTTTACCCCCAGGCAGAGGTGGGCAACCCTTATCTCTGTGATACCACTGTTTCATTTTAACCCATCTCTCACCCCCTTTGAGTCAATCCACAGGTCATTTCAGTTCCTTCAGATAGGTGTTCTGCATCCATCCATTTCTCTCTGTCCTCCATTGTCAGCATCCTCACCCAGACCACCATCTGGTACCTCAGAAGCCTCTTAACCAGCCTGCTTGCTTCTGCTTCAATATTTTATCCACCCAGCAGCCAAACAGATTGCTTTCAAGAACCCATGAGTCACACCATGTTGCTCCCCAGCTGAAATGAATTGCTTCCAATTCCATACTTGACCTAATATGCTTGGAAGGATCTGGCCCCAGCTCATCTTTCTAACTTTATCTCTTCCCACTCTCTCTTTACTTGTGCATTTCAGCCTGCTCTAGACCCACTAAGTTGACTCCTGCCACATTTGTGATGCCTTAGTCTACTGGTTTGTCATCCTTGGACCTGGAGTAGCTTTTCACTTGGCTGATTCCTTGTCATCCCTCAGACCAGTTGTCACCTTTCAATTGCCCAATATCACAGCTTGTTTTCTCTCTCACACATTTTACTCATTAAACACTTGGAAAGTATTTATCCTATTACCTACTCCACCTACCACTGGAATGTGACCACCATGAGGGCAAAGCTTTGGTAAACCTAGCTCACTACTATGGCCCCACTAATTGGCATAGAGTGGGTTATGAAGACATGTTTGATGACTTGCATACAAGCATCTGTTGATGCACTTACCAGATTATATTATAATTTGTGTTGTGTGTCTGTCTTTTCCTCTAGATTTTTAAAGGTAGGAATTAATTTTCTTCTTCGAGCTCCTTCCTGGTGGGTATATAGTTTGCTCAAGTATCTGTAAAAAGGCAGTTTGTAAGTATTGGTACATCCATCACAGCTTATTATTAGATCCCTCTTTATCCAGGGAAAGACAGGGATCCTGGGATAACTTGGGGCTTCAGTTTCTCAGATGAAGCATTTATTCCCCCAAGAGACAGGGTTTTTTTAGGTGGTGTTGCTCTCCTGTTTTGATGGATGTGTGTTGGGTGAATAAGCTATGAAAGAATTGAGAGAAATTTCTGTGGCTGGTGAAGGTTGTTGACAAGGGAAGGTAAAGCAAGGACTGTGCGTCACAAAGAAAATGCTTATGGATTTAACTGGAAGTAGAGAACAGATCCTCTGAGTAGGAAAACGTAGATAATTGAAGATGTTTTTTAATGGATATTCAAGCGTGAAAAATAAAAAGGGAGAATGTGAGTTTATTTCAAGATGCCTATCAAGGATGAGAAACAGATGAGTTCTGAGTAGACTTCACAGATCAAGAAATGGAGAGCATGATCAACCTGAGGAAGAGAGGCCATGGGAACTAAAGGCTGAGCTGCTCGGCTTGGCAGAACCTGAGGAGCGCCAAGCCACCTTTGGCTGCTGCTGCCAATGGCAAATTGTAAAACATGAAATTGTCCAGAAACAGGGTATGTAGACTATAAGAGAAAGAGAAATAATATTAGGAATTAGAGGCCAATAACATTATTAAATACTTATTCCAAGATATTTTTAAAGAATTCTGCTGCTAAAGCTGGTGAGACTAGCAGCAGAGAGGGGAATGTGTCAAACAGTCATGTGTGTAGAGAAGCTAGCAGTAGCTGACTTAACACATTGCCAAAAAGTTCTAAAATGTGGGAAGGTTGTATATTCTATTTGAGTATTTCAAAATATCATGCTTAGGTAAGTTGATGTTCTTTTTAAACCAACAAAAACTGTATTAAGCTAGATAGGCCATAAAGACAGTCTACATCAGCTATGCTCATCATACCCATTACTCCGTCCAATTTTTTTTCCTGAGCAGAAATAGAAAATGAAGTTACAAAGTCAGGGCCAGGCTACCAAAGGAGTGCTTCACTCTAAATGTGCTCTATTTCTCCTAAAAGCATTCTAGGCATCACATTTTTATTATGAAATATTTCAAATACAAAGTTCAGAGAGCAATATAAACCCACTTATCCACCAGTCAGATTTGCTTCAGATCTGTAAGCACATAGCTTTATTTGGTATTTTTTTTTAACTTGCATATATCATATATTTAAAGTATCTTTCTACTTACAGTTTTTGCTTTTTATCTATTTCCTAGTTGATAGAAATTAGATCATTTTTTATTTTGAGAGATTGCTAGAGACTTGGAGCAAGAATCAAAGCAAATAAAGCCATAAAAATGGAAGGCAACAGGAAATTTTGAAGAAGTTTAAAAATAAAGACTGGAACAGTATTGAGTACCTCAAAGAGGAACAAGATGCAAAATTAAATTAGGAAATGAAGATAGAAAATGAAAGTATCTGGATAACTTGAAAATGTAAGAGAAAAACAAGATAACTGAATGTTGCAATAAATGGAGGAAAGTAGATTATTTGAAATAGTTATGTACTCATATGAAGAAGGTCTGTATTTCCACTAAGCAACACTCCTGTGACCCTATGTAAGGAAAGGGCAAATGTAATCAGTGGATAGCACTTCTTCTGCTTCAGGAGGAAGAAAATGTATATGTGATAAATGTAAAATTGAGTCCAGTTTAATGTGTTTTAAATATTTTTATTTTAATAATATATGTTTATTGTAAAACATAAAACAGGAAAAAGAAAAAAAGGATTTCTTTCTTTTCAAAGAAAATTGGAAACCACTCATGAGCAATATTGTTTTGAGATAGCTGTCAATGACATTTTTAAGTAATCACCTTTGTTTTTGTCTAACTGGCTGCTGTAATAGTACTATAGAGTGGGTGGCCTGTAAACAACAGTTTATTTCTGCTCTGAAGGCTGGAAAATCAAATATCAAGGCACCAGTAAATTTGCAGATTTGCCATCCATGGAGGGTTCCCAAATAATTGTCTGTAAGCTCACATGGCTGAAGTGGCCAAGGGAGCTCTCGCAGGCCCCTTTTATGAAGGCACTAATTCCATCCGTGAGGGCTTTACCCTCATGACCTAACTTCCAACTACTGTCACATTGGGCATTTTGGATTTAACATATGAATTTGCAGGGGATGCAAACAGT